CGTCTCTCGAATTCTCCCCCCGTTCTCACTCGCTCTCTTCGGCCACCCCCTCACGTCCCATTATGTCACCTTACTTCCTCTCCGCGCGCGCAGCACACACATACGCGCCACGTTCCTCTCCTCACGCCCCCCACCGCAGCGCAATCTCAGACACCGCTTAACGACGTAATCATGCCGGGTGTGCGCTAGTCGGGTGGAAGCAAGGATCGTCGTTGCTATCGTGAAGGCGGGGCGAGATGCAGCAGCAGGAGAGAGAGTCGAGAACGTCGCGTCCTTGCGGCCAGACTATGCGCCGGGCAGATACTGCGATGTGCCACTCCGTGATCAGCCCACAGCCACTTTTCTTTTCTTGCCATGCTCCGCGCTGACAAGCCAGCAAGCAAACGGGCAAGCGCCAACTCACCTTGCCCGGGTTCATGATGCGGTGCGGATCCAGCATCTTCTTGATGCTCTGCATCAGCTCCACGCTCACGTCGCTCTTGCTGTAGCCGATCTTCTCGCCCTTCATGCGGCCCAGGCCATGCTCTGCCGAAATGGAGCCGCTGCAGAAAGAGCGAGGGAAGGAGAGATGTGAGCGGTGAGGAGGGAGATAGGGCCGCAGGGACGGCGTTACGCACGAAACTTCAGAGACCCACTCGTAGATGAAGGGCTCGAGCTGCGCTTCGGCTTCCGGCGTGAACTTGTCGGCGACGACGTTGATGTGCACGTTGCCTTGCGCGCGCGCGAGGAGCTCGTCAGCGCTCACGCGGGGGAGGGGGGGTGGGGGGCGCTCTGTTTTGGCGCCGACTCACCATCGCCAATGTGGCCGTATCCCACGACGGTGCTGAACATCTTGCCCTCGCCCAGCAGGCCCTTCTCCTCAAAGCGTGCCCGCAGCACCTCGACCAGCTCGTTCATCTTGTCGACGGGCATGCTCAGGTCGTACTTGTACACGGCGCCCGCGCGGTTGGCCGCCTCGGGAATGGCCTCGCGCAGCGTCCACAGGCCCGCAATCTGCGTCTCGTTCTCCGCAAGCACGCCGTCGGAGATCAACGAGTTCTCCATCAGATCCTCCAGCAGTGAGGACAGCTTGGCGTCGTCGTGCTCCTTGTTTGAGCCGCCCGTCTCAATGAGCACGTAGAAGGGATGCTTGGCCTCGAACGGATCGCGCACTTGTTGCGACGCATGGCCCTGCACAAGCGTCATCGACGCCGCATCGAAAAACTCAAACGCCGACAGCACCTCGCCAAGATGCGCCTTGACGCGCGGGAAGAGCGTCTGGATCGCCTCGAAGGACGGCAGCCCGAAGACGGCCACGTTGAACGCCGACGGCCGACGCGGCGTGATGATGGACACGCCCGTAATCAGCCCAATGGTGCCCTCACTGCCGATGAAGAGCTGCTTCAAGTCGAAGCCTGTTGTTGCGCACGTTGCGTCAGTGCCGCTGGCGAAGATGCAGGCCCCACTCTGCTGCTTGCTGCCTCACCGGTGTTGTCCTTGCGCAGTGTGCTCAGGCCATCCAGCACGCGGCCGTCGGGCAGGACAACCTCGAGGCCGAGGACGTTGCCGTGCAGCGAGCCGTAGCGCAGGAAGCGCAGGCCGCCGGCGTTGGTGGCGACGTTGCCGCCGATGTGGCACGAGCCCTTGGCGCCCAGGTCGAGCGGCATCATGTAGCCCTTCTCGGCCACGTGGTTGTCGAGCACCTCGAGGATGCAGCCCGCATCGGCCACGAGGGTGCCTGCAGAGAGCATGCACCACGTCAGCATCACATGGCCCACACGCCACCTGCCAGCGACTCACCGCTGATGGCATCGAAGCTGCGGATCTTGTTGAGGTTCGCCAGACTGATGACGACCTCGTCATACACGGGCACGCCGCCGCCCACGAGGCCCGTGTTGCCGCCCTGCGGCACGACGGCAATGCGCTGCTGCGCGCAGTACTTGACGACGGCGGCCACCTCCGCCGTGCTCTTGGGCTTCACCACGCACGCCGAGCGGCCGCGGTACTTGTTCATCCAGTCGTGGTTGTACGCCACGAGCTCGGCGGCGTCGACGGGCGTGACGCCGCACTCGCGCGCCGGCGCGAGCGTGGTGAGCAGCGAGGTGGCGGGCGTGGCGAGCAGCGCGGCAAGCTCGGGAATGTGCTCGGCGGTGAGCGAGGTGTACGTGCCGCTGAGCGGCGCCTCGGTGGCGAGGCGGCGGCGCGGCGGCTGCGGCGCGGCGGCGGCCATGCGCGGCGCGCGGCGGGCGACGTGAAGGGCGCGCGAGGCGGGCGCCGCGGCGCAGAGGCGGCTGCTCGAGGCCGCCGCGGCGGCGACGCTGCGCAGCGGCACGGCGGCGGCGCGCGAGGCGGCGAGACGGGGTGCGAGCGCGAACATGGTGGTGGTGGTGTGGAGCGAGCCAGTGGCAGACGCCGATGGCACTAGACTGGCTCGCCCTCGGTGGCCGAGGCCGCAAGTCCGGCAATGGCGGGCGTGGCGAAAGGCGGCGCTGCGAGCGTGGGAACGGCGGCGTCGCTCGCGCACGGCAGCGGTGCCCCGTGCGCACACGGCGCCCAGGCGGCGCGCGGCTCCTGGACCTGCTCTGAGCCACACGCACCTCCGCCTTGCCCCACCATCCCCGCCTCCTACTCGCCAGCATGGCCGAGCCCCTCGACCAGGCGCTGGACCTGCTGCGCCGTCTGCCGCCCGCCGCCGTCGCCGCCAACCTCGAGACGATCGTCGCCCACTGTCCCGCGCTGGCCGACGATCTCTACTCGGCCGTGGACCAGCCGCTTGCGGTGCGCATCGACCACTCGCCCGAGGGCGCCGGGCGCGAATACCTGGCCTGCGACTACAACCGCGACGCCGACAGCTGGCGCTCGCCGTGGAGCAGCACCTACGATCCCCCGCTGCCGCCCGACGAGGGCGACGAGGCCGCGGCAGAGGGCACGCAGCCCAGTCCCGAGCTCCGGCGCCTCGAGATTCTCGCAAACGAGGCCTTTGGCACGTATCGCCAGCTGTGCGTCTGTTTTGCCCTCTCCCTGGCACACCGCGCGAAGCTGACATGGTGGCTGCTGTGCACAGCTACTTCGAGACGGGCCTCTCCTCCGTCTATCTCTGGGACCTCGACCTGGCCGGCGCCTTTGCCGGCGTCGTGCTGCTCAAGAGCGACCTGGCCGCCGGCGACGTGGCCGGCGCATGGGACAGCATTCACATCTTCGAGACGAGCGGCAGCAGCAAGAAGCCGTCGTACAAGCTCACGAGCACCGTGATGCTGCGGCTCGGCCAGACGGAGAAGCGGGGCGAGGCAGAGGGCGTGCAGTTGGCCGGCAGCTTGACGCGGCAGGTGAGAGTCGAGAGACACTGGCGTCGGCGAAGAGAGAGAGACACTCATGGCAGTATTCCTGACAACAGGCAGAGGAGACGGCGCCTTGTCCAGAGCCCGGAGCGCACATCGCCAATCTCGGGCGCATGATCGAGGACATGGAGAGCAAGATGCGTGGGCAACTGCAGGTGAGTCTGGCGGCGAGAGAGAGCCAGGCGTCAGGACCGAGAGACGGTTAGGGCAGAGAGCGCAGCATCCGATCACGCGGCAGGACAGCAGAGTCTCCCTGAGAAGAAGGGCGGCCATTCCGTGCGGGATGACGCCGCGGACGGAAGGAGGCACTGTGGTCGCAGCTCTGCACGGGCAAGGGTGCGGCTTGCTCTCGACGTCCGCAGCCCCCTCCTTTGGCCCTTCTCCTTTGCACTCTGGCGTCGACTCCTTCTTCCTCGTCTGTCTTTCTCCGCCCCTCTCTGCTCATCCACGCTGAACCCACCTCGCCACTCGCAAGAACGTCTACTTTGGCAAGACGACGGACATTCTCAACTCGGTGCGCAGCGTCGAGTCGCTCGAGAAGAAGCGCAAGGAGCGCGAGCTGCAGAGCGAGCTGATGGGCCTCTGGAAGCGGTGAAGTTGCCGCCGCTGCACGCCATGCTGCACCACGTCGGTTAGGCCGGCAGGCGGGCGGGGAAAGAGAAGTGGGAGGGGACGTCACGAGCTAGAAATGGGTGGGTAATGACATGTTTCTTGACGAGCACAGCGCAGAAGGTAGATGAGTGGTGGTTGGTGGTCGTATGAACCGGTAAGAGAGGGCGACGAGTTCGAGGGTCCTTCGACGGCGCCTGTAACGGCGGCGTGCTGTGAGGCCGAGCGCAAGCGCGAGCTCGACTAGCTCTTGATGGCCGGTGGCTGCGCCATGGCGTAGCGTTATCGCTAGGAATAAAGAGGTGGAAGATGGAGAGGCGGCGCTTGCTATGGCGACAGCGACACTTGATGAGCGGATCGGAAAACGACGAGGCGAGAAGGATGACGAGGCGAGACAGAGCTTGAGGGCGCGCGTCGTATCAGGAGCGACGGCACTGAGGCTCGGCGGCGAGGCTGGAGAGGCGTCGAGACGAGACGAGACGAGATGAGGGGACAGAGACGCAGATGGGCCGGTCGAGAGCGGCGAGGACGGTCGACGTGTTGAGAAACGTCGTGTCGGAGCGCGAGCGAGGCGAATGAACTAGGCGACCGGGAAGCCGGAGGCGGTGGAACACGAGTTGAGCTGGAGACTATTCAGAGTCAGGGTCGCTCGAAATCGCTTCAGCGCACGCCGGCACCGGAAAGCGAGTGAGGTGGAGAGCGCGAGAGCCGTGGGCCGTGGAGAGGCATTGCGACGACGTGTGCACTCGCTTCAGCTTTGTGAGCCCCCGGTCTTACACGTCTCGTCTCGTCTGAGACTTGTAGAACGCCACGCCCCAGTAATCTGGCGCCAACGTTGCAGCCATTGCTCGAAATTTGATGTGCTCGTTGTTGAAGAAGAGCAGCTCTCCTTGCTGAAGGAGCACTTGAGACGTGCTGGACTGCTCGTTGTCGTGGAGCGTCACCAGCATTGTCTGAGCCCCGCAGTTGAGCAGAACGCCGGGCTGCTCATCGGCTTCCGGCAGGTCAAGCGCCCATTGTGGAGAGAAAACGGCGGCAAGCGACCAGAACATTTCCCCATGCGCCTGCAGCAGGCGCAACCATGTCAGCAGGTCTCTCTTCATAGGGCGTCTAGACTCACATCACCCTTTGCAGCCCCTGCTTGCCTCTTCTTCCACCGCTGTGCACGTTCTTGCAGTGCATAGCCAAACGTCGGATAGAGTTCCTAGCTCTGTTGCCTGCTTGCTTTGTGCGCTCCATCGCGCTCCTGCCTTCCGCATCGCTCCATCCGCCTAGCCCGGTCCGCCCGCATCGCGCAACTGTACCTAGGCTCCTCGCCGTCTCTGCACGCGGCCTCTAATCGCATTTCTTCCAGTCTCAGGCCACCGAGGTGCAGCCTTCGGGCGGAGTGCCCGTCTGCGCTTCACTGCCGTCGCGGCGCCCGGCCTTCGCACGCGCTGCTCGCCAGCGCCAGAGCGCAGGGCAAGAGCTGCAGGGAAGAGCAACGAGCCACGGGCGGGCGTGCACGTGCCGCTCGCTCTTGCTCACGCGCGACGCGTAGAATGCCGTGGGAACTGGTGTTGTCGCTGCTCAGGGTGGCGGCAGCTGACGACGCGCATGGGCCGCGAGCAGCGCTGCGCCCGACTTTGCGCTCTCGTCGCCGTGCCGCACACAAGACCCTTCTCTCCCGGCCCTTATCCCGGACTAAGTGCAACTTTTTCTCGTAGAAATCGCGCCTGCAGGGCGTTCTGTTTCACTCTTGCCGTCGCAAGCGCGCCGCAGCACATGGAGTGGCTGTCACTTTGCTCTCACTCGCACGCCGCCAGCGAAGAGAGGAAGAAACTGCGATTACTGGCGAGACATGCCCACGTCTGCCCACTCCTTGATCGACGAGTGCAGAAGCATGTGCTAGTGACGAGAACACGGGGCGCACGGTCGTGTGCTGCGGACGAGAAGGAAACGGGAAGAGAGAGAAGTACCGGCGGTGTCGGACGTGGCTTCAGCTTGCGCGAGGCTCGCGGCGGACAATCTCAGCGGGACCTGAGGCATGAACAGGGTAAGCACATTGCGCGGCGGCCCGCGCCCGAGCTGCTCACGGGCCGGCCAGGCGCTCTGCCCTTTTCTTCGCTTTGTGGCGGCGATCTGCCTCCTTGTTCTGCTCTACACGCCGTTCCTGAGCCATGATCCGCCGCATCTCCGCCCGCTCCGGAGCACGCCGAATCTCGTCGGCGATCTCGTCGTGGCGCTGCTGGCGCTGGACCGGATCCTCGCGCGCATCGCGCCGCGCGATGAATCGCGCCTCGCGCTCGTCGCGCTCTCCCTGAGCCACGATCTTCCTCATCGCCTCGCGCTTCTCGTCCTGCGTCGAGTCTCGCGAGTCGATGATCCGGTCGCAGGCCTTCATCTCCGCCTCCTCGGCTTCCCGCCGAGCGGCCCCGTATAGGCGCGGCTTCGAAGCGCCGGCCTTCTTTGCCTCCTCAATTTCCGACTGCCGCATGAACTCGCGAAGTTCTGCTCTCTCGTCCAGGTGCAAAGCGTACTGCGCGTATGCCTTGTCCTGTGGCGGCAGGCCCTGCGTGTAAGCCTGGTAATACCGACCATGAAAGATTGCGCGCATCTGGGCAGATAGTTGGTGTCAGGATGCGCTTTCGGCGACAAAATGCGGCCCGCTCACCGCCTGGCTGCTGACCGTAACCCCATAGCGACTTCGCTCTGCGGCATTCAGCATGTGGCCAGTCTTGCAGACCTGGGAGGGAGCAGATCTCAGCAGCACGCGTCGAAAGCCTGATGAGGCGCGCACTGACCTTGTTGAACGTGGACATGTACAGGTCTCGAAACAGCAGCTTGTTGAGGGGCCCAGTGAAAAGGCGGCCGTGAGAGAAGTCCACGCAGCGACGGTTGGCGCCGCCGGTCTCTTGAAGTGTCGCGCCGCTGAAGAGGATCACGAGATGCTCGAGGAAGAGCATGTTGAAGAGCCTCGTCTTCACCGTCTTGAGCTGAGTCGGGAGTAAGAACGGCACGAGGCGATGTTGGCGGCGCACTGCCGAGGAGAAGGCTTTGCGCAGTGCAGTTGCGTGGCCCTTGGAGCGATCGTAGGCGTTGCCCGTCTGCCCAAGGTAGAAGCCGCCGCCGGGCCTTGGGACCACGTAAACGCATGCGCCCAGAGTGCCCGGTGGCAGCTTGCCGGCCATCTTGATCAGCTGCGTCCGCGAGATGAGCGGAAGGTAGGATGCAGGCGAGCCGAGCTTGTTGTCGGGGATCGGGCCTGCCTTGGCAGCTGTAGCGGCGGCTATTGCTGCTGCCAGTACAGGCTGGGCGTCCATGGCCTCGTCGAAGGTGCGGCGGTAGGCCTCTCCACTCGCAAGCGCCTCGGGCGGGAACGCGGGAAGAGAGCCTTTGCGCGGCCGGTAGGTCACAGATGCGTCGTCGACGTCGAACAGACCTGAAACCCGTGTCAGCAACAATGGCAACGCTCCTCTTGTCCCCCTCCCCCTCCGCGCACAGGTCCCGCCTCACAGCAGAGCCGAGGCAGTGGCGCGACACTGCACTCTGTCTGTCGCTGCTGCGTACAAGCGTGACCGCTCCATGAAGCCCGCAATCACCACTGTCTCCTGCGCCCTCGCCTGCTGCAACGTACCAGTCAGAGCCGGCGTGTGCTGTCCAATGAAGCAAAGCTTGGCAAACGCTGCATCGTGACGGCAGGGATCAAGTTTGGGAGGCATGATGAGAGGTGAGGGTCAAGAGGGAAAGGGCGCAGCAGCCCCGCGTGAGGAGTCCGGCGCTCTTTCTCTGGCCCACTTCCGCTGGATCGCAATGGAGCGGCCGTGCGCGGCGACGAGCCAGAAGGTGCGTCAAGGCAGTCAAGCGAGCACGTGCCTGCGCCTGAAGTGACACGCCACTCTACACGCTGCGCGCGCGCGTCTCGTGCGGCTGCGCGCACGGTGCGGCTGCGCGCACAGTGCGGCCTGCTGCTGCCGCGCGCAGAACGGACAGCCGTGCCCCTCTCTTCACCACTCGACTGCACCAGCACCTTCTCTCTCCCTCATCCTCGCCGCACTCATGAAGAACAAGAAGACCGTGAGCCATGGCAGCGGTATGCCTTCTCGCGAAGTGCAGCACATTAGAGACGTAGCCATGCACGAGACCTTGGCTTCGCTGCCCGACACCTTTGCAAACAACTTTCTGACGGGCAGGCGCGTCCCCCCTCCTCACGAGTGCGACGGAGAGACAACTGAGACTGTGGATGATTGGGCTGCTCGGGCATTCGAGGCGCCACCTGCTAGGATGGCAGAGAGGCTGGACGCCTTCGAGTCAGCGCTTCTGCGAGTGCACGAGATGAAGAGGCCGTCGGCAGTCCCTGCAACGGTAAAGGCATTCAAGCTGTAGGTCACCAACGGCAACGCTTGTCATGCCATGCTGACATCCATCAGCTCCACCCGCCTGCAGAGGCTGGATATGTCTTTTGCGCTGCTGCAGGAGCCCTCAAGTAGCAAGGCGTGCATCGCTCGCGCCTCTAAGATGCCGTCGTTCAAGGACGAGAGCGAAGACATGCTTCTTCAACTGTGGCACAGCAGAGCCGAGACCCTTGAGGCGACGGTGCTCGACATCCGCCTCGCCGCGCGCAAATTTCACGAGGATCCCGCTTGGCGTGGAAACGGCAAGTACCAGGACCACAAGGCATGCTTCGATTCGGCGTACCTCGAGATGCGAGAGCCGCTCGCGGCTACAGACGCTCGTCTCCACGCCGGTCCGAGCAGCACGCGCGGTCGATCCGCAGCGGACGAGTCAGAGGACGAGGTTGTGGAGGCGTCGGCGGCCGCTGAAACGTCAAGCACCGGACGCCGCGCTGCAGGCAGAGCGCCGCCCTTGAGGCTCACTGCGCCCCCCGGCCCGTGAGTGCCAGGGCTGGCAGTATCTCTGACAGCTGCTGCACGCTCGCTGAACCTGTGCGCCGTGATCTAGGGCCGGTCGCCACCGCAACTCTGCCACCATGGCACTCATTGCCCAGCACGCGGGTGCGGCTCAGGCGGAGGGACTAGAGTGGACAGAGGAGGTCAAGCCCGGGGCGTCGGGCCGGCTCAAGGAGTTGGCGCGCCGCTTTCCGCGCTCGCGCCCGCAGTAGCTGTGACGCGCACAGAAAGATTGATCCGATCCCTTCTTCTTTCCAAGGCCCGTCGCTCGCTTGAAGAGCACTGCGCCATGCTTCCCTCCCTCTCACTCATCGTACGTGTCTGCGCCTGAGTCTGCGCTTCATGCTGACCGTGCTCCCTCGAGCAGCCTGACTCCTCTCGCCCGCTCGCCCAATCGGCACCGGCGCCGCGCTTCCTTCCCCTCCCATCCATCGTACGTGTCTGCACCTGGGTCTGCGCTTCATGCTGACCGTGCTCCCTCGAGCAGCCTGACTCCTCTCGCCCGCTCGCCCAATCGGCACCGGCGCCGCGCTTCCTTCCCCTCCCATCCATCGTACGTGTCTGCACCTGGGTCTGCGCTTCATGCTGACCGTGCTCCCTCGAGCAGCATGTCTCCTCTCGCCCGCTCGCTCGCTCGCTCGCTCGGTCCTGCGCCATGCCCATCACGGACTCGGCAAGACAGCAAGCACGACACGCATCGTCCCCGCTTCTTTCCTGCGCTTCTGCGCCCCCGCCCCCCTTCATTCTCTTCCCCTGTCGTTCTCTCGCATACGAGCCCCCACGCGCCTCTGTACTGCCGGGCCGCACCCGTCCGAGCATGATCCTTTCCAGCCCGCTCTTCTCCGACCGCCGCATTCCAACCCTCTTCTGCCTGTCCTCGTCGCGTGTGCCTCCGCTCGCTTGCGCAGCAGCACCTCCAGCACGGCATGTCGCACAAAAGATCGATCTGATTCGAGAGACGAGGGCGAGTGTGACGCGGGACATGCGAATTCGCGACTGGATGCGAGGGCAGGTCTGACTATTATGCATGCTCGGTCAGCCATTCGCACATCTCGTCGACATGCTTGCTGGCGAGACTGTCGAATCCGTAGATGTTGGTATAGACGAGCATCAGCTTGTAGACGACGCGGGTGTATGGCACCAGCTTGTGGGCTGCGGCGGCAGCGGCGCCAGGGCCCTGACGGCGAGAGTCAGCCGCGGTTGGTAGCTCCGTGGCTCCGAACTCACCTTCTTGTCGAGGCGGGTGTTGAGCGCAATGATTTCGTTGTACATCATGCTGAGCTTCAGCTCCTCACCACGGAGCCCATCGTTGTACAGCGCATCAAACTGCTTGTCGATCGTAGCCTTGATGGCAATGCGGTCCTTGTCCGTCCAATTGACGCCGTCTATTTTACTGATCTTGTACGAGAACTCGGCCATGTCCTCGGCCCGAGGCACGCCCCACTTCGCGGCAAGCTCCTTGGTGCTCTCGCCCTTGGCCTTGGTCTTGATTTTAGTCGTGCTCGCGGCCTTGCTCGACGGAGTGCCCGTGCGAGCAATCTTCGACGACGTGCTCGTCTCCTGCGCGGCAGCCTTGCTCGACGGCGTGCCCGTGCGAGCAATCTTCGACGACGTGCTCGTCTCCTGCGCGGCAGCCTTGCTCGACGGCGTGCCTGTGCGAGCAATCTTCGACGACGTGCTCCTCTCCTGCGCGGCAGCCTTGCTCGACGGCGTGTCCGTGCCCTTCGCCGCAACCTTTGACGACGCGCCCTTCTCCAGCGCGGTAGCCGTGCTCGAGGACGTGTCCGTGCCCTCCGCCGCGACTTTCGCCGCCGACGTGCCCTTCTCCTTCGCGGCAGCTGTGCTCGAGACTTCAGACGACCAGTGCACGCTCTTTGGTGCCGCTGGTGCCGGTGCATCGCGGGCCGGCACCGGCGAGGCAGGGCGCGAATTGTCGGCCGGCACGTCGCCGGGCGCGTCGAGCAAGGCGTCGGCCATGAGGGCCTTGTCGCACGGCGTCTCACCAGCTGCAGCTGCTGACGGCGGCGAAGGCGGGCGTGAGTCGATCGCGGGAAGGTCAGGGTCGGACGACGAGTCGTTGGCGGAGGTGGCGATGGGAGCGAGGGCGGACACGATGCCCGGTGCCGGCGCGTCGCAGGCCGGCACCGGCGAGGCAGGGCGCAGGCCAACAGCCGGTACGTTGCCGGGCGCGTCGCTCGAGCTGCGACGGCCTTCCGAGCCGTCGCACAGCATCTCGACTTCTACTGTTGCTGTCCGCTGCGGCGAAGATGGGCGCGAGTCGATCGCTGGCATGACAAAGCCGGACGACGAGTCGTCGTCGGAGATGACGATGGGAGCCGTGGCGGACGCGTGCCCAGAGGCCGAAGCCGAGGCCGAGACGGACCGAGCCTCGTTGGCCGGCCGTGCCTCATCGCACAGCATCTCGCTACTGCCTCCCACGCGCGGCGCAGGCTGGCCAGGCGTGTCTAGCGCCGTCGGGCGAGGCTCGGACCCGGAGGTGGGACGAGAATTGTCGGACATAACTTGTGCCTCATCGCGCCTGGTGCCGTCTCCTGCGCGCGGCGCAGACGAGCCGGTGAAGTGCAGCGCCGTCGAGCGAGCCTCGAGCTCAGAGGCACGCCGAGACTCGTCGGAGATGGGCCGTGCCTCGTCGCGCGACATCTCGCTGCCGTTCTTGTCGCATGGCGAGCGAGAGACTGGAAGAGATGCCCTCTGGCCCTCCTCAGGCCACGGAGCTGCGCTCTTTGCGCCGTCTGCGCCAGCTGCCTCTGCACGTGAGGCGGAGGGCGCAGTATGGTTCGCCGCGCTCACCAACAGTGAGGCGGCTGCGTGCTTCGACTCTGCTGCGCTTGACGCTGTGCCCGGCGCTGCACGAGGCAAGAACGCGCCCGTGCTTGCTGTGGTGTCGGAAGGCGAGCCCGCACTCGTCGCCGTGCCGATTGCTGCACGAGTCGAAGGCGATCCTGAGCTTGCTGCCGTGTCGATCGCAGGCGATGCTCCTGCTGCGATGCGCACTTCGAACTTGCTGGGCTGGTACGTTCCAGCCCGTCGTCCGCTTCTCTGTAGCGCGAGCGGTGTCAGTCAAACAGGTCAACGGAAATTGAGCAACAAGACGCCGCGGCGTGCTGGCGCCGGGCGAAGAGCAGAGAAATGCCACGAGGGTGCGGCGGGACGGCGCGAAGGGAAACAGCCGAGTGTGTCGCACGAAGCGAGCACGGCGGGACAGCGCGGAGCGAAGAGAGAAGGAGCCACACGAAGCGAGCACGGCGGGACAGCGCGGAGCGAAGAGAGAGAGTGCCAGAAAAAGCGCGGACGGCGTAACAGCGCGGCGAGGGAGGGGGTAAGAGAGAGAGAGAGAGAGTGCCACAAGAAGCGCGGACGGCGTAACAGCGCGGCGAGGGAGGGGGTGAGAGAGAGAGAGAGAGTGCCACAAGAAGCGCG